TCAATTCCGTGCTCAAAAGAAAACTGGAGTGAAAAACGAAAAGAACAGAACAAATGTTGCAAAATTTTAATTCTATGAATATAAGCTATTTCATCCCTTCCAAAGGACATGTCTGTGATGACCGGGAAGAGAGCGAGAAAGGGAGCAGGCTGGCACAGAGAACAGGAGATAAGACTAAGTATCATTCGCCAGAAGACACATTTGGATGCAGTCTGCGTTTCATCCCTTAGCTATAAACAGAATGGTTTTATTCATTCCAGAAAATTGACATTGAAATCTTTCATCCTTTTTAACACATTTTCATCAATACAACTTCCTACTCGCCCCAGGTATATGATAAGCATCAGTCACCTCGCATAAGAATAGAGTAATGAAAAGACAGAGAATGGCAACTCACATGTTCCGACAAAATATACGCAACACCCAGAACTTTCTCCATAAAAAATCCCAGCTTTAAAAGCATCCTCCAACAGCACGTCTTCCTGATCACAGCACGTAGCGGCGTCAGTGTCACTATAACATATCCTGAAACGACATCTAAATATATAGGATGATAACTGGTGTGATGCGAAACGTGGCCGACTACTGGACTCCTTTCGGATGGGCAAGAGGGAAAAGAGATAGCTCCCAACCGGCTCAGCTGAGGCTACTACGCCTTGCACCAAACTCCTGTTGCTTTTATAATCATTTCCCATGAAATAGAAGAATAGGAGGATTTGATTTAAATGTCATATGTATGCGACTTAAAGGACCGAAACATTCCTATTCAGGTTTTTTAATCCGTTTTATCTTGTTCACCCTCCTTTCATCCCTTTTTAAACCTTACTTTTCACATAAATACACATTATCTAAAACTAAAATTACAATACGTATGAAGATATTTTATGATGCAGTCTGTGTTTCATCCCTTAGCTGTAAACACAGACCAAACTATGCATGCAGGTAGAAGAGGGGAATAAGTACCGCTGGAGACAGTGCCATGAAATGACCTTGTACGTCCCAGGCGCTCCTCCGAACTCCTTCTCGCATCCCCTCCTTCCTCGTTCTCGAATGTCAGCAAGAAACCAGACTTTCTCCCCCTCCCCTCGCCATCCCCTTTTCCCGTCCATCTCGCACCCCTCTCTGACATAGTTTGAGACTGTTTCCACTGTGGAATAACAGAGTGCTCCTAATATCATATTTGCCAAAGGGCACACGAGTTTTTTGTGCAATTCTGTTCATTGAGGTAAGTCAGTACAGAAGCTATAAATGCATTTTATGCGTCTTTGCTGTGCAAAAGCGAGCAAAAACGCATATTGTCGAGAGATCATTTGTGTGTGTTCGGAAGCGAGTGAACTTTGTCACCCACTTTCAACTCAGCAACTAGGAAAGCTGGGAGGCTGAAATTTTGAGGACATATTCCCATCCCGTGTGTCACCCTTTCGTTTCAAAATCTTCGCCAGTACGCGCTCAGGCCTTCCGTACGGACCACCGAAAAAAATTTGCAAATTTCTTTGGCGAGAAACGATTTCGCAAGCCAGAAAGATAGAAAGCTGAAACTTTGCAGAGATATTCTATTTGCCTGTGCGAGCTAGAGATTTCAAATTCAGCTATCGCGCACCCTTACACCGCGCGTACGGTCACGCCAAAGTTTGCATTTGGCACTGAGCTAGCTCAAAAACTAGCCAGAAAATAGTAGCTGGAATTCTGTCACAGTATTTATCATTCATATAGGAAATCATATACATAAACTGAGTTCTGATTTGCACCTGCGCCATGACTTAGGCACTTTAAAAGTATTTGTAGCAAAGTGGCTATTTTGCTCACCAGGCATGCTGCGAAGCTGAAATTATGTAAGGGCATTCTATATTCAAGTGTAATCTTAATTCAGTTTGGGGGTAAAATTTCCCGCACTCAGACACGACAAATACTCAATTTTACCGCAAACTCAAAAATTAGTGCATTTTGCAGATTACGCAATCCTCCTCGGACTTCCTTCAAACTTGCATATTTTTATGCGTTTTTGC